CTGACTGGTGTTCTGTTATATGAACGTGCCACAGTTTTCTTATCCATTTAGCAGTTGATGGGCATTTGTGCTGTTTCCAGGAGTACAGTGTTTTGTGTGGACATAAGTTGTCATTTCTCTTGGGTAAACACTAGGGGTAGCTTTGCTAGATTGTATGATAAGTGTATGTTCCACCTACAAGAAACTGCCACACTGTTTTCCACCAGCAATGTATGAGAGTCCTAGTTTCTCCATATTTTGACCAATATGTTCTTGGTTTTTTGACCAATATGTTCTTGGTTATTGTCTTTTTTTTTAGCCATTCTAATAGATACATAGTAGCATTTCATTGTCATTTTAGTTTGCATTTCCCTAAGGAATGGTGACATTGAACGTTTTTCATTTGCATATTTGCCATCCCTATGTCTTGAGGAAGTGTGTCTTGAAACCTTTTGACCATTTTGTAAATTGGGTTTTTCCTTTAATTGTTGAGATTTGAGAGTTCTTTATCAGGTATGTGTTTTGCAAAGAGCAGTTTTAAATTGTGATGAAATCTAATTTATCAGTTTTTTCTTTTGTACTTTTTGTGCTCTACCTAGGCAGTCACTTATCTCAAGGTCACAAAGATTCTTCTCATACATTCCAGAAGTTTTAGGTTTTACGTTTAGATCTATGTCCTATTTCAAGTTAGTTTTTGTAAATGGTGCAAGATATGGACTGACGTTCAGTTCTTCTTTTTTACACATGGGTCTCCAGTTGTTCTGACACTGTTTAATGACGAAATTATTCTTTCTCCATGTAGTAACTTTGCTACTTCTGTTGAAAACTTATTGAATATGTATGTGTGGGTCCATTTCTGGAATCGTTGTTCTGTCCCATTGATCTATATATGTCTGTCTTCACCAGTAACACACTGCCTTATTTACTGCAGCTTTATAATGAGCCTTGAAATCAGCTAGTGTGAGGCCTAAACTTTTTTTCCAGTTTACATCAGAGTTCATTCTTTGTGTTGTATATTCTGTGGGTTTTGACAAACGTTTATTGGCACGTGTCCACCATTATAGCATCAGACAGAATAGTTTCCCTGCCCTGGAACTCCTCTGTGCTCTGTCTCTTCACCCCTCCTTCTCCCCAACCTCCTGGCAACCACTGATTTCTTACTGTCCCATAGTTTGGCCTTTTCCAAAATGTTACCTAGTTGTGATCTTTTCCAAGTGTAGCCTTTTCAGTTGTAACCTTTTCAGATGGGCTTCTTGCACTTAGTAATATTTATCTAAGATTGCCTCATATCTTTTCGTGGCTTGATGGCTCATTTTTTCAGTACTGAATAATATTTCACTATATGGATTGCTGCTGTTCATTTATCCATTCACCTATTGAAGGACATCTGGGTTGCTTCCAAATTTTGGCAATTATGCTTTGTAAAGTGCTACATATAACTATATTATTATAATTATGAATAAAGTAGAGGGTTTGTGGTAAACACAGTTTTCATTTCATTTGGGTAAATACCAAGGAATATGGTTGCTGGATCATATGGTAAGAGTTGTTTAATTTGGTAAGAAACTGCCAAACGTTCTTCCAAAACGACTGTGCCATTTTGCATTCCCACCAGCGATGAATGAGAATGCTTCTTGCTCCGCGTCTTCAGATAACTGGTGTTATCAGTGTAATTTTTTCTTTTTCAGAATTGTTTTGGCCCTTCTAGCTTTGCTGCTTAGGAGTGGAGCTGGGGTCTCCCCTTTCCCTAAGGGAGATAAAAGGCCAACCACACGAACCCAGGAGTGAACATTGGGCAGGGGAGGGACTCAGATTTTACTGTGCTGGACAGAGGTAGCAGATGCGCCATCCTGCTTTGTTCTGGGGGGAAAGGAAGCACCAGGATTGATTTTCGTGGGGTTTGACGAGGCTTACAGTGGGGAAGGGAAGCACTGTGGCCTTGTAGGTGGCGCCCTTTGGGCTAATTCAGTGTGCTGTCTTTGTTGCCTCTACATCTGAGTATATACAGGAGATGATGTGTTCCGGATTTTAATTCCCCATCCAGTAAGCACCAGAGCAGATTCTCTGATAGGGAAGAGCCACTGTAGAGAAGCCCAGATACCCGTGAGTTCCCACAACCCACATAACCCCTTTGAGCTACAAGTCTTTAAGGCGAATGATTTTATTGACTGGAGCCTCTGGCAAAGGAAGGCAGCGTCCACCTGGAGGCACCCCTTGGGATTTTGGGCTTGTCTCCAGCCTAGCCTAGCTACCAGTTATGTCCCTTTCGAAAAGTGGCTGTTAGCTTGCTACTAGGATCTTGTCAAAACTGAATGTCTGACCCATGAAGGCTGTCTAGGCTAAATCATGTCTCCCTAAAATTCATACATTGAAGTCCTAACCTCCAATGTACTTGTGTTTGGAGATGAAGCCTTTAAGGAGGTAATTAAGGTTAAATCAGGTCATAAGACTTGTCATGAAGGTCACAGATTGGCAAAATAAAGACACCCCTCCCCTTTGGGGCTGCAAAGCCTGGAGGGCATCGATCAAACCATCTGGGTCACTCCTGTAGGTAGGAAGGGCCTATTCTCTGAAGAGACTGACTGGAATCAACAGTGGGCTGATAGTTAAGGATCTTGCTGAACTTTCTGTCCTCCCTGCAATCCACAGGCATTTGAGATTACTGAATGTTAGAATGGCCTCCTTGAGAAAAAGCAACTCCCTCACCTCCTCCTGGTCCACACACCTTAGCAAGGCGGTTTGCTCACTGAGTGCTGCTGTGCTGAGAAAGGAATCATCTCCTTTTGGCCACCTTCTGGGTAATGATCAGGACAAAAAGGGTGTTGGGGTTATATCATCCTGTTCCAAAAACTCAGGATTCCTTCTTCACTATTCCTCGGCATGATACAGCTTTCTCTCCCTAAGAGCAATGCCACATTGGCCAGATGGGTACACCCTCTGAGTGGCAGCTTGGCCAAGAGAGGTCCTAGAGGATTCAGACTTGACTCTGGTTCAGCCACCTGGATTCACCTGTTGAACTGACATGATCTGAGTCAGAGGTTGGCAGACTATGGCCCAGGGGCCACATCTGCTCTAGTGTTTTGTTAATAAAGTTTTATTGGAACACAGACACACACATTTGTTTATCTAGTGTCTGTGGCTCCTTTCACATTACAACAGAATTGAGTACATGTGATGGAGACTGGCCCTCAAAGCCCAAATACCTGTCCCTTTACAGAAATTTTCCAGCCCCTGTCCTAGGTCAAAAGCCTGGTGACCGCTTGGTTGAGTACAGTGCTTACTGAGTCCCTTACCACGGCCCAGATGAGTCAAGGTGGGGACCATAACGAGGCTCTGAGCGTTTTATAAAAATGCCCTTATCCCTCTCTCACCTCACCTTTCTGGATAAAAGGACTGGATGTGAGTGAGGAAGATTACAAAAAAGGTTAAGTTATGGTTAGTAGGAAAGAGGCACACTGATTCTGTGCAGGTGGAGAAAGAGCAACAAGAAGGCCACTTGCGGCGGGAACCTTAGGCTCCGGCGGATGTGGAGGGGGCGGGCGGTGATGACCTTCGTCTCTCAGAGCTGCCCCTGGAGCATCTGGTCATGCACGTTGTCCAGCTTTTCCCTGGAGCCTTAACATTAGTCATAGTTATTTAAGGTACTGACCTGATGGTTCCAACATGTGGTCATTTCATCTATATCTGATGGCTACTTTATCTCTTGCCAATGGATTTTTTTGTTTTTTTCCTTCTCTGTGTAGTGTACATTTTGCCTAAATGAATGCCCGTAGAGACTGAGGTAAATAACATTTATGGCTGGAAATAGGCAGCCCTCTTCTTCTGTCGGGCCGTTAGTGTGGGGCGTTGACCTAGGTTGGAGTTTCCTTGTTATGAACGTGACCTTCGCTGCATCAGAGGGGCCAAGTTCCTCTAGCAGTGGGTGCTTAGTGTCAGGGCAGTGTGGCCGGAGGTTTGCTCACTAATTTTGCTCCATTTCCTTCCAGTGGGTTCTGCACCCCTAGTCCCCTCAAGGGCCATCTCTTCTCCCTGTGGGTACCTCCCCCTCAGCCGTTTCCTGCGGTTGCTTATTACTCGGTGCCGGGCTGGTGGCGGGCCAGGCCGGTCTGAGGCCGTGGCCTGGGTCTCGGCGCTCTCCCCCGCCTCCCAGGCGGTCGGACTGCCTGGACCCACCCTCCGCTTGGTATTGTTTGAGCACGTCAGCCCAGAGAGTCTGCTGCCTCTCTTCTGGAGGTGGAGGTTTGTCTCTGCCATTTCCCAGCAGCAGTGAATCTTTGCCTGGGGTCTTGCAAATGATTTCCTGGCCTCCCCACTCAGGCAGACTGATTTTACTCCCACTCCTCCCCAGAGGCTTTGGGCTCTGCCCGAGCCTGTGGACCAGTGAGTTTTCTGCTCTTCCCTCAGCAACTCAGAGCTGTTGCTTCATCGGACAGAAGGGTCCAGGAAGAGGCAGGGCTTCTGCCTGACCCAGGCGCCCTGTCCCCTGCTTTACTCCTGTGCCGCGGGCTCCTGCCTGTATCACAGAAAGCAGTAGAGCATCAGTTTCCGTCTTCCCCCATCTGTCCCGCGGCTGCCTCTCCCCTGGCCCTGTGCTCTGCCTGAAGTGAGGGGACGTACGTGCCCAGCTCCCTTGGGAGGGAATTTTGTTTTCTTGGTTCCCTTGCAGCCTCAGCTCTTCGACAGGATAAAGATAAGTTGTGATTTTGTTAGACTCTCTTGCTTCGTCCTGTCAGGGTGTTTTCGCAGCTTTCTACATGTGAAGCAGAAGTGTAAAACAGCTAGATTTTGATTCAGAAGAAAGGGGTTCAGCTCCTGGCTCTGTCCCCGAAAATCTGTGCCCAGTCACTGTTTTCTCAGTTGTGAAGTGGGTGCCACATATTAGAGTAGATTTGTCAGTGGAGTGGAGGGCTGTTTGGAGGATTAAATGAAAATGCATGGAAAGTTGCTTGCGAACTAGAAACTGCTGTGGAATAATCATGACCATTACTTTCTAAGCAGCGTTTTCTTTTTTCCATTTTCAGAAATGATCTTCAAGGTGCAGAAATGAGCCCAAGACAGAATCGTCGTGTGAGATCAGCTGAGAGCGCTGAGCTGGAGCCAAGCAACAAGCGGAACAGGAACGAGTCTGGGCGTGCGGACTGTTCCCATGAGTGACCAGAATGTGGTACCCTTTGTTGTATAGATTTCATATTCATAAATGCCCAAGTGAAGAGGTTAAATTCTAAATACTACGTTCAACCAATTTTCAGTCTTTTCTACCTTCCAGGGAAAAAAAGTTACAAAACATCCTCACTTGGTCAGTTACCTCCTGCCTCTAAAACATCTCTCTCTAAAGATACCGACCTCACTCGTTCACCACCTTTGCAGAGGACACAGACTTTTTGGCAAAGGGGTTTTGTTTGATTTTGTTTCTAAATTCCAGAATGTCCTTAAGCCCCTCTCCTTCTCTTCCATGGAGAAACTAGCTTCAGAAAAGGATCCTTCAGCCCCCCTCCACCAGGAGCAGTTGAGGTGTTCAGAGCCGCTGTGTTTTTGGAAAGGCAGGATGTCCTAACTCGGGTCCTCCGTGTGTGGGAGCGCAGGGTGCCTGGGTGCCGGAGTGCGTGTCACAGCAGTTGCAGGATGGTGGCTGCCCAAGTTTGGTATGGTTGGTAGTTAGACCGTGTCTTACACTTGACTTGGGGTAGGATGTTAGCACTGTAACCTAAAGGCACAAACAATAACTTTGAAACATTTCGGCATATTCTTCAGAAATGGCACTTACAAAGGATTCCTTCATCTTTTTTTTTCCACTGGGCCAAATCGAATCTTTAACACTTTGAATCCCAGCTATTAAATGGAAAGAATGCAATAAATGAATTTTGTAATAGCGTCTATATCAATTTAAAATAAAGTCCTTGAAACAGTCTCCTGTGAATACTTGAGTTCAAGCTACAGATCATTGAAGGGGGTCATCAGAAATTTTTGTCTCTGTGTAAAATGTCCCCTGAGTTCCCAGTTCTTTCTAGAGTTTCTAATGCCTGTCTTTGGCATTTCAGAGCCAGTCCCCCCGACTCCAACCCCCTGCCACCTCCCAACCCAAACCGGCTTTTAAATACTACAACAGCAAACAGCAGCGGTAAGACAACAAATTTATGAATGTGCTGGGGCGTTTGTGACTTCCCCTTTCCAAAGAACGTCTCCATTGACTTTGGCTTTTTAGTATGCTTTCGGGTTTCTGGGTAATGTGTGGAGTCTCATTATGACTTGGAGTTCAGCATTTTCACACTTTAGTGGCCTTTTGTTTTCTTTATGAGTTCCCTGAGCTTCAAATGGTTAAGAATTTGTCATAGTCATTTCATCCGCTAAAAATCATAAGTGGTGGCACTAAGGCAGCTAAAGGCACCACCACTCACTGAATGTATCAAATGATCTGATGTGAGGTAAGTGAACCATATCGAACCAGAATAGGGTTTAACATTGATGTGATACTTACATCACTGAGTTATCAGAAATTATGCTAAAATGAAAACTACTTGTTTCATTAAAAATTACACAGCCTGCTGTAAATTAAACTGGAAGTAATTTCTAGTTGAATTGCAGCAAAAGGAGTTTGCAACGGAGCAGTGAGGCCGAAGAGAGGGAACCAGGCGAGTGAATTCATTCAGGAAACATCTGATTAACTACTTAGGTAGGCAGCAGTCCCTTTGCAGAGCACCGGGGATACAGAGGTGGCCAGAGGCCATCTGAAACGCTGGTTCTCAGGAGGGTGGGGAGGAAGATTCTGCCCCTCAGGGAACACCTGCCAACGTGTGGGGAACTTTACAGCTGTCACAGCAGTGGGTGGGGCACTGCTGCTGCTATCATTGGGTAGAGTGAGGTCAGGGATGCTGCGGAACATCCCACACGGCCCAGGTCAGCCCCCTGGAGCATGTGCTTGGGTTACCTTAAAGCACCACGGACGGGCGAGGGGGTGCTTCACCAAGAGAAATTTGGTGTTTTTTTCACAGCTCTGGAGGGTGGCAGTCCCAGATCGAGTTGTCAGTAGCATTGGTTTCTTCTGAGTTCTCTTTCCGTGGCTTGTGGATGGCCACCTTCTCCCTGTGGCCTCACATGGTCCTTCGTCTTTGCTCGCACGTGTCTGTGTCCTAATCTCTCTCATCAGGGCACCTGTAGTATTGGATCAGGGTCCATCCACATGGCCTCACTTTACTTAATTACCACTTTAAAGATCCTGCCTCCAATCCATTCATGTTCTGAAGTACTGGGGATTAAGACTTCAGCAGATGAATGGCCAAGTTGGGGGTCACAACTTAGCCCGCGACACCTCACAGCAAATAACTATCCTGTTCAAAATGTCAGCGGTGTTAGATTGAGAAGCCCCCAATATAAAGGAAGTCCCAAGTCCTTTTGAAAAGTAAAGCCTCATAAGCATTTACTGAGCTCTGTTTGTTGCACCTTGCATACTTAATATTCATACACTGAAAGAAAGGCATTATTATACCCACTTGAGAATCAGGACATAAGGTATTAGATCCAGGATTGAAACCAATAAGCTTCTGATTCCAAAATTCACTTTTTAGTGAAAACATGACCATCATTATTCATTCTTTTTACCTCCCAGCTCCTCTCCAGGGTGTAGCAGCTCCTGTGGGGGTGTCATCTCCCCCCCGCAGCGATGCTGCAGGAGGGCAGCTGTGTGTAACTCACAGAAGCGCTTCCAGATGGCTGTGCTGGGTCCGGCCATCCTCCGTGCCTCATGCCTTCTCTGTCTTTGGTGCTCCTCACTGAGAATCGCTGGTCTGGTTGGAAAGGCGGTGCATACGCGTAAGACAGTGCAGGTCATGTAGGGAGGCGGGTACATATTAAAAAACGGCCTCATATGGTAAAGATTCATGGCAACAGATAGAATCGTGAGAGAAGGCTTTGTGGAGGATTTTCTTCCTTGTGGCCTTGGCTCTGTAAAATGAGAAGCAACCCCCTAGGATGGCCACACAAATGTGGTTACTGGGGCTGAATATGAAATCTGACTCCAGTTTTCTTAGAACCTGGAAAAGGCAGAAACAGTGGATTACAAAATTCTTACCATCTGATAAAAGAAAATCACAATTCTTCAACGAAGACATGTTTTTCCCTTTTTTTTTAATTGTAAGAGTAGTTCCTGATGAGCATGAGAGGGAGATAATCATGACAGCCATTAAATTCATTTCCGTTTTGATACCTTTCTCTGGTTTTAGTTTTTGGTGTCCTTCACGGTAATTATCTGAGGCTGTGAGCAGGTCACATGGGCCCCACCCTGCCGTGTTGCTGGCTTTGTGTCCCCACGCACACTTAGGCTTCTGGCAGCGGTTCCCCATCCCTTTCCCCAGACTACTGAGGATACAGGACAGTCCACGCCTGAATGTCACTGCTCTCCTGGCCGATGCCTGCTGGGCGCCTGCCACCCTCCCCAGTGCCCCACCGCAGGCACCACTGCCGGTCCTGCCAGAGGATCCTATCTTGCCTGGGATGCTGTCTCCGAGCGCATCCCTGAGGTGCGAACCCGCGCGTTGCCAGGCATCCCTGCCACCCTGTTGGTTTTCTTGGTTCTTGGCCTTGCCGTGTTCAGAGTGGGAGCAATGAGACTGCGCTCCCAGGTCTGTAGTGTGATGTCGCCTGGGACCATGGTGTCCTCAATAGGAAATTTCCTGCTTCTCTTTTTTCCTTCCCCTTTTCCCCGCTCCCTTTCCCCCTTCTCCCTCCTCTCTCCCTCCCCTGCCTTCCCTTGGCTCCCATGACAACATGTTCAATAGTGTGCAGGACAGACAGACCCTGCCCTGTGGAACTTGTAGACCAGATCAGATCGTCACACAGGTTACAGCTGTGGTGAGTGCAGCGACGCAGAGGTGCCCGGCCTCATGAAAGCGTGTGAGAGAGGGATTTCCGTTTGGCCTATGAACTCTGTCTATAGGAAGCTTGAAAATCAGTCCAAGGGGATGATGTTAATCACTGTATTCCCTCCTTGTCCTCTGTGTCCCCATCCCTAGGATCTGTGCACGTATCTTCTGACTCCTTTGGTCCAAAATACAAAATATGAAAATATTCATGGAAGTCAACTCATGCAAATACATG